AACTGAAATTTTGAAGGGATGTTTCCCGACAGTTCTGGCGGCCATTCTGAAATTCTTTGAGCTAGAAGCATCTGCCGATAAAGCCGATGCCGGTAACGACAAAAACTACGGGGAACTCTGCAACAAACGCATCTTCGCACGGGCAGCCCGTGCGTTGGCCAATTATATTTTATTGATGCTGTAATCAAAACCTTATTCACAAACTGTGATTCGGATAAACACAATGTGTGACATATCTTAAATCCACTGCGTTTTTTCTTACTTTGTTTTGACCTTGCTGTCACAAGCTGGCACAACATAGCTTGAAAATGACAGGCTAATTTCGAGAATTCACTGAAATTAGGACATCTTAATTCTGAATTGAGAAAACCATCTCGAAAACAATGCCTTTTTGGTTTGTTACGGATTAGTTCAACCCTGTAAAGCTGATTACAGCATGACTGTAGCATGCCAGTAATGTTAAGACCTGAAGGAAGATACGCATGGAGCGAACTGTTTATGGATGGATGTAGAAATATAGTTAATTTAGTCATATACGCCTTAGCTCAACACCACCACTGGATTTCGTCGGCATGGCGGTCGTGGTGTTCAGAGATGAGAAGGAAAAAGAAGGAATGGAAGGGAAGAAGAAGATAGGAAAGGGAAGATTTTTTTTTTACAATTATATTAAATTTAGAATAGTTGAACGAAGTTAAAAGAGTTGTGATATTAAAAAAAAATTTCACAAAATTTTGCATTTTTTTGTTTTTTTTTAGGTTTCGGAATGTCGGCGCGCGATCATCGCGGAACACTACAACGTAGAATGGAATTCATCAGTGTGCAATAAAATGTGTGATATCTGTTCCGAATCCGGCGACACTGTTCAGTGCTTCGATGCGACAGATTGTTGGCGTTTGATATTGCAAATTCTGAAAGATGTCAGTATACACGACACGATACATTAATCAAACAGAGACCTAAAAAGCTACGAGGCTGAAACTTTGGGGACTTATTCCATATATGTGGACAAAAAAAAGAGTACAGGATTGTTCTGATTTAAGTGTTTCCGAGGAGAAGTCATGACGCTTTATTAGTGGTTGCATTGACAAAATTCACCACAGAATGAGTATGGGCAATGTCTTAGACAAAAGGTGTTTTTTGGAAAATTTCCAAGATGTCTGATTTAATTCCCTTTTTTGCTGGAGATGTTTGTTTAAGACTGGAATTGATAGAGTAAAAGAAGCACTGATGCTTCTAGGAGACGATATCGCGAATCTTATCTTGATATTGAAGGGATAAAAGACGGAACTGGTTAGACAGAGCATGTTTCCCATTTTGTTGGTACACGTAATAAGAATGGATAAGTACAGGATTTTCTATATGTGCTTTTCATTGATCTGTCCTTCGACTTCCATTTTTTATGCATTTTTTGCATCTTTGCAATGCAAAAACACATATCAGGGGTTGTCAGTGTGTGTGTCTGTGTCGGTGTCTGTGTGTGCGTATGTCACGGTTTTTCATCTCAAGACCTACAAAAGCTACAGGGCTAAAGTTTGGGAACTTGATCTACATGCATTTGCGGGCTCCACTCCCTCTTGCCCATGTGATTCCCACGTGCGGGCTCATACAAGTTTTTGACGGGTAAGTTGCTAACTCGGGAACCAGAAAAGCTAAAAATTTGAAATTTTAAGAGGATGTTCCTCATCCACGTAGGACTTATTGAGTTTAATCCCAGCCCCAATTGTGCGTGGTTCCCAATATTCGTGCCAGTGAAAATTTTTTGCAGGTGAGTACTAACTTGGGGACCTTAAAAGTCAGAAAGCTGGAATTTTAAGGAGATGTTCCTCGTTGCAAGTAAGTTCAAACTCAGCCCACAAGTATGCATGGTCCACACGTGTGAATCCGTGAAAATTTTTCGCAGGTATGTAGCTAACTTGGAAACCAGAAAAGCTAGAAAGCTGAAATTTTAAGGGAATGTAGTGCGTGTGCGGATATAATGCGGAGATTGGTTCAATTCCGTCCCGGTCCATAATCATTTTTGAAAAAGGCTTGCTTTCATCGGTTGGCCCGGACAGTTTTGATTGTCATTATTTATGCCAATCATAAACAGCACTGGTTTTTCATATGTTTCATTGAGCTGCGCTTATTCATAATTCACAGTGCTTTCGCTGTTATTTCAGGTTTCGAAGTCGGATACAAATCGTATTACGGGTATGAAATTGGCTGAATTGTCATGCAAGAAAAGTAGGATGAGCCGAGAATTAGTTGAGTATGTAATTGCAAAACTCATCCTGGATGGCTATCTTAAGGTTAGTACCGTGTGGTTAATACCATTGTTAGGTTGTAGTTGAGATATTGCATATTTCATGCTTTTTGCGCTGTAGCTTCACAAAGTAGCTGGTCTGGACCGGGATGAATTTGAACTTCACATTCTCACTATCTTCAGATTTGTAAAAAATACTGAATTGCTTTATTAGATTGATTAGGTTAAGCAAAATTTTAAACGTTACTTAAGGAGTAGATCTCGGAAAGTATGCTTTTAAAAGATTGCTTTAACTGTAAAATATATTCTTTGGAAGTATTAGAAATATATTTTACAAATGTACGAAGTACCAACTACGAAGTATGTTTGAAAATATCAAAAATTTGAAATATACAGGCCTCGTACGTTATGAAAATATGCCTGTCAAAGCAAAGGAAGGAATGTGGGGAATCTGTATTTTAGTTTTGGCGGACTGAGATCGGAAACATTTAATCTTAAAGAGGGCTTTAAGGACAAAATTTAGAGGTGTTACGGCTGCCAAATCCGGTGAAAATTTCGTGAAATTTTATTTTTTTTTCTTTTAATATTGTCATTAGGTTGTATTCCAATAGCAGGAAAGGCTTGTGTTCGTGGCGATTTTAGTTTTTCCGCTTAATCTATGAAATGCCTTCATTTCTCGTAAGTGGAGTACGTGATTCTTCCTTCAGCACTTTGCCAACAACTTACCCATAAGATGGTTCATCTCCGACCATAAAACGATAATTAGCCTCTCATATGTGGCAGATTTGCGCTGTGATGGGAAGTCATGTGATGAAAGTATCAAAAATCACGAGTTTTTTTCAGGAGGATTTTCATTTCACGCCGTACTCAATCATCAGCTATGTTGTGCCCGGTGAAAGAAGTTCATTAGCCAGTCAGAATCCGGACATTAAAATAACATTCCCCATTTCCTCGATGTTGATAACTCCCAGTGGAAAAACGAAAACAACCCGTAAAAAGCCACTACTACTTGTTGATGATGACGACGATGACACTGTTGTTGATGATAGTTGTGAGCATGAAAATAGTGATAACATAATTCCTTTATGAGTTGTATTTGCTCAAATTTTTGTTCATGCCGAAACCTCTTCGATATTTACACCCTACGGGAAGAGGGAGGGGACAACGGGGAGGGTTGGAAGAGAGGGGGGAGGGGGGAGACACAAATGTCGCCCATGCCAACAGCAACCACTCGCTGGTAATACTGCTGTCTATGGCTCCCACTTTTCGTAGGTTGCTTACAAGCAAGCTGATGATGGATTTGACTCCCAAGGCATAGATGCCAGTACCAATTTACCATCGAAACGAATGAATAATCTTGGGGAAAAATGGTCATTACACTGAC